ATGCAAAAGCAAAACAAAAGCCAATGTAACCACTGCAGATTGCCTTTGAGGATCTTAGTTAGTCTCTGTATTTTTCAAAAATTTACCGGAAAAATAACATCCACCAACAGAAATAACTTTCACTTATTACTTAAACTCATGATACCAGTTTGTCCATTCTGTGCCTCCGTAAAAACATGGCAGTGCATGAGGATCCACATGAGGGCTTTTCATAGCGAACAACAAGATTATTTTTTAATCAGGTGAGCATCAAGTGGTAACCTTCAGGCACAGAAGTGCTTAAAACTGCAGTTTCCCCAGCGCCCAGGTACCTCTGCAGCCAGAGGTACCTGAAACCATATCTGCACTATTTCTTAGAAACATTTTTAGAGCACAAATCAACATGTGCTAAGCCTGGTCCAGATAGTGTTTTTTGTCTGGATAATTTCTTTTGAAACAGGCTTCCCAAACAAACAGGTAATGCCACCCACACTACATCTATTTACACAGTCTATGGCAAATATACACCCACTTGGTTCCCCCTTGCCAAGTCACATCTATTGAGTACAAGTCACTGACATATTGTGAATTTTGATATTTTTGCATTTTAGTTTTGAGCACCAAATGTCAGAGATTACCCTTTTGGGCTGAAGTGAGAGCTTGGACCAGAGTCCCCCAAAATTCTTTGGCAGTTTTGGCTCTATCTGCAGAAATGATTGTTCAGCTTGCATGCTCATGCAAAAAGGCTCTTTTTGCTGTTTCTCGTTCAAGGGGAAGTGCTAACCAACATACATACATTTTTGTAACTGCACTTACAGGCAACATATAACTCAAACCACCCTACTGCAAAAATACCACAACCATCCTTTCAAGCAGGAGGTTAGCAGTCAGATCCCAGGTCCTGTGGTGCATGTCAGAATGTCCTTGGTTAAGACACTGAGCTCCAGACTGCTCCCTGAATGAAAGCAGCATATGAATGGGTATAAATGGGATTAGTTAATTCTGATGGGCCTTTTATACAGCATCCTCTGCTTTCAGTGTGAATGGATGAATGAATCATGTGAGAAAGGGTGTTCAGTGGCCGGAAAGGCTAGAAAAAGGCTACCAAAGTACAGAACATCTGCCATTTACCATCTAGTTATCCTCTGAAAGCAGCAGCTAGGGGATTCAGTGATTATTTGCATTCCTTCACTTGTTTGTCAATCTTAGTTTCTCCATATTTATTGAAGTACCACACAAAGGCTTTTACATTTGACTTTTATTGAAGCAGCCAGTCTGAAATGAGTGGGTTGGTCTGTTTTTAAAAATGTATTTATGTAAAATATCTACACTAAGGAGTGTAAATGTCTTGACAAAGCAAACATTTATTTCATGAATAATTCAGTAACTGATGTTTTTGTTGCTGTTGTTTTTGTTGATCAAGTTATTCAACTAATATTTTCTCACACAGGCCTCCTCTTGAGGGATGGAAACAAGAGTGTAGTTTCAAAAAATGTCACATTCCCCCATCTCCACTTTTTTTTGTCCTCATTCATTTTGTGCTCAGTTGCTGTCAGGCATGTGCAACATGAGTAAAACCCCATAATCAGTTTTTTACTAGCACTAATAACCGGGGACTGCAGCTGGGTAGAATAATGTCACAGTTAAATGGTGAATGGTTCATAATTTTAAAAGTGTGGTGGCTAATAATCATGAGCACCTGACTGTATTTTGTGGCATTTTAAATCAAACTAAATGAGCTCCATCATGGACATATTGAACAACCAAAGACTGGAGTATCAGGGTTATTTAGCCTGAAGATTCTTCAGAGTTGACCAAGGTAACTTCACGGTCAGTGACTTTGTGCTGTAGCATGCTTTGTGCAAGTCCAGTTAGAATTTAAAAACGAAAAACCTCTTCCCAGGACTGAAGGCCACCTATTGAGGAAAAATTTGGATTTCATTTGAGACGAAAATTGTTTGATTACAACGATGAATTCCTAAAATTATTAGACCGGATGTGTTTTTGAAGAGGGCGATCAGAGTGGCAGTGGCAGCCTCCTGAGCTAACATGAAGCATCATGCAAAGTCAAACTTTATGAGGGTCTCATAAAAAACTAAATGCCAAATGTGTCAGTACATCAGCACTGCACTGTCATGGTCTTTATTTAGAGAGGAGAAAACCTGGTCTGGTATGAGTAAGCGAAACAGGCTGATAGAGCGTGAATGTCCTCAGCTGTTGGGTTTAATTTCGTATCATCCTTTGCTTATAAACATAAGTAGCTAGCAAACCATGACTTGTAATTTCTCTTAAAATTACAACCTTATTATCATTAATTTATGACCTTTGTCTCTAAATCTAATTTCCTTTTTTGTGTGTGTAAAACAGCAAAATATTTTTAGGCTTCACATTGAATTGTTCATCTTTTTCAATCTTGAGAAATCACTGTGCAAAAGATACAAGGCCAGCCAAAAAAAAAAAAAGTGAAAAAATACTGATTGACTGTGATCTTTGGGCCCTCGGGCAGCTCTGCACACACACAAAAAGAAAGTAATGGAAATCGTTGCATGAGCTCAAAACCCATTCAAACACAGATAATGGCTGTATTAACAAATGCAGGTATGAACTACAACATGCACAAAAAACAAAAGATATGAACATTATCCTGAAGTGCAGACAACTTTTAGAACATCTGAGTACACTTCCCTTCCCTGCCTGCACCCCTGCTCTCTGATAAAGGGGGTTTACTGTCATCTAAATCAAGGCAGATGGTTTCTCATATCACTGCTATGCAGATGATACCCAGCTCTTCCTGTCATTCCCATCAGATAACACAACTGCCTCAGCCCGGATTATTCACCATGCCTTAACTATGTGGTAATATCACACATTGACTACTGCAACTCCTTTCTGGCAGGGCTCCCAGCATGCACAGCTTAACCCCTGCAGATTATCCAGAATGCAGCAGGGTTTTAACCAACCCAAACAGCATGTGCCGCTATGCTGTTCATCTCTCTTCACTGGCTTCCAGTAGCAGCCTGCATCAAATATAAAACTCAACTTCTTACATACAAAAAAGCAAACAAATGAGCTCCTGCAGGTTTACACTCCCTCCTGCCCATTACACTTTGCAAATGAAAGACGCCCATCACAACAGGGCCCTCAGTCACTATTCAGACGAGTCAATTCTCTTGCACCCCGTTGGTGGGATGAACTATTAGACCAAGACCAAGACCAAACTTATACTGGAGCATCTACACATTAAGGCTCAGCTGGTCTCCTGGGTGAACGAGTAAAAAAATAACATCTTGGAACCCCACAGTCCCCTTCTACTTCTGAGTAGGGATGGGAATTGTTAAGAATTTAGGGATTCCATTATCAGTACTGCTTATTGATACGATTTCTTATTGATTCTCTTATCGATCCTCATTGAGGGTAAAATACGATAATGCAAATGGGTGTTTTCTCATTAACTCTTTAATATTGTCACCTCTGGACAGAAGATATGGCATATGCATGCACTAATAATTTGTTATATGACCTACTCTTTGACCATAAATCTGGTCACAGCTCGGTGACATTCGTTTATCTTCACCTCTGTCATTTTACTCTTCCCTGCCTCAATGAAAGAGGCTGCCAAAGGTGTTCGAGAGGTACCCAACTCTGAGCTAGCATGACTCTGGCAGTCATCATCATCTAAATGTAATTTAAGGAGATGGACAGTATTTATACAGTGGTAAGGGGGTTAACATGGCGCTAACATCTACCAGGACCTGGAAGAGTTTAACAGTACTTTCAGCATTTAAGGCAGATAACCTGGAGACTTTAGCTCTGCTCCTGCTTTTGCCTGCATGCTGGGTGGACAAATGTTTCTGCATATTGGAAGTATTTCCCCCTTTTGACGAAATTAAAGCTATGCTTAGGTGACCAGACGTCCCCGATTTCCAGGGACAGTCCCCAAATTGTATGACCTTTCCCCGGCAAAAGCTGTCCCCAAAAATGTCCCTGATTTAAGCGTTTCATGAATGAGATCAAAAATGTTGTGTGTAGGCTAGTACAACAGTTAAACAGACTTCTCATGTACTACGTCATTACGCATAGAGACATAATAGGAACTGATAAGTAGAATCGTCATGGGGGCAGACAAACAATTCTTAGGAATTGAATCACTGGGAACCGTTTCTAAAAAAGAACCAGTAATCGGTTCTCAACCCTACTTCTGAGACACTTTTCAACCCAGCTCCTAACTCAGCACTGGTAGTTATGGTGAAAATAGGCAATTGGTTCTGAGGTTCATAATTAATAGGGATCATAACTGGTTAAGTGAAGAAATAGTTAAAAATAGTGAATAAACTCATGCTTTGAGGATTTGTCTGCAAAAATTCCACATACCTCATAAGAACAGAAGCCAAGATCCTCGAGTTTTAAGCAAAGAAAGGAATGCTTATTCATGCTTTTGCCAGTATGTAAGCAGGAGAATAATTTTCAATGCTGCATTCAGTTTAAATGCTCTAAACCTGTTGGGATTGACAGTTGGATTACATGGATGAGATTATTTGCCTTTATTCTGCCGGCTTATTGCTACGAAAACAGAGCAACTTGACATGTTCAGCGTAGGATGGCAGAACAGAGATATTGTGATGCTTTTCTCTGGGACATGATTTCAGCAGTCAGGCAATGCAAGAGGGTGCAATGCATGCACAATGGAACAAAAAGGGTTAACAGCACTGTAAACAAGCTGTAATGAAAGAGGTGGGTTGCCAAGACAGAATGCGGAGATGGAGAGAGGGAGTCAGAGGAGAAGAAGAAAGGGCAGGAAGCATGTTCAAAGGGTTTGTTCATGAACTGAAAGGGGAATTTACAACAGACAGGCAAGCAACACAACAGCAGGGCTTTGAAGTGTCTGGCTATGTGTGGAGATCCCACTGCTTACATGCCTTGATTAGCTGGAGAGAGTTTCACACCCCCCGCTGCACATGTTGTTGCTGTGATACTCATACTGAGCAGGGTGTGTGTGTGTGTGTGTGCTGATAGTCAGGGACTCAGCTGGAGCTGTCTTCACAGGTATGTGTCTGTGTGTAGGCAGGGAGTGTGTAGATGTTCCTATAGATGTACACGGTTGGTGTAGGTGGAGAGTAGTACCTGTTTGTGAGTATGTACTGTTTGTGTGCCTTCATGGGCCAGACTGTGGGCATAATTGGATTGACAGCTCCGACTGTGAAGGGTGCTGCAGAGTCAACCGCTGTGTGTTCCTCGAGAGCTCCCCTGATGCCCTCTCCTCCTTCCTCCACCTCCGCCTCCTCGTTCCCTTTCTCTTCCTTCCCTCCTTTGTCAGCTGTGATCCTGATCAGAGGAGAAAAGCCGGCTAAAGAGCTTCAGTTTGAGGTTGTTGGGCATCGTCCATCCTGTGTGCAAAGAAGAAGGCAGATGAGGGACTGGGCATATATTAACTTTTAAATAGAAGGTTTACATAACCCTATGTTTCTAACCTTTCCTCAGAACTTGATTTTTTTCCTCACGACTCAAAAATATCCAAATCCAGCACACTCCATCACGCCGCCTCCGATCCTCTTCCTCTCTCCACCTCACTGTGCCCCCTGTTCACCTCAGCACCATGGGGGGCAGAGCTTTCAGTCGCTCTGCCCCCCGACTCTGGAACTCTTTACCATCACACATCCACAACATAGACTCCCTCCCCCTCTTCAAATCCAAACTCAAGACACACCTGTTTAAACTGGCCTATCCATCCCACCACCCCTAACTCACTTTTTTAATTTAATTTTAATTGGTATTATTTATTTATTTATTTATTCCTTTGTCAGACATAGGAGTTGAATGTCAGAATTTTAAGGAATAAGGCAGAATTTAAGAAAAGTCAGAATTGCAAGGAACAAGTTAGAATTCAGAGATTTCACCAGCTTCACACTTACAGCTTTAGTTTAACTTGTCTGTTCAGAAGGATTTAGAAGAAACTCCATCAATGCCTCTGAGACTCCACTGGCCCTCTCCATATTGTTCATCAAGTGGCAACCTTCTGAGTTGAAAAATTTAGCCAGTGAAAGAGTGGGAAAAAACTACAGTTTGTTGAGTGTCTGGTCAGGACTGACTGCAAAAGCCAAGGATTTCCCACCAAGTCAACTAAATGCTTTTTTTTTTTTTTTTTTTTTTTTTTTGTGGCAAAGTCAAACATGTTTACAGCCTGTTTTTAAGAAAACAGCTTCAGTCCATGAAACACTTATTTATTCATACACACTGGAGAGGAACAGTTTTTTAATCACATATCCCTTATGGTAATAATAGTTAAAGTCATACATAAATTCCCCTTATTATAGGGCACAGCCAGGTTGACTGACGTGACTGGGCTGTTGCTAATTGCCACGAGGCTAAAACCCGCCTCAGCTCCATTTCTTTCATGCTGCTTGGTTGATCAAAAGTGAGATTCATTCACCGTTTTCAACATGCAATCTGCCATCACAGGCTCTAAAACCTCACTCCAGAAATCAGTGCGGGAGTCTGTCCATGTTTTATACAGTCTATGGGATTTACTGAAATAATAAACTCACTTTAGAGAAACATAAAAACAAACTCAGCCAGTTGAGCGCATAGACTGTATATATTATGGACAACTTGGCTCTGCCTTCCATCATTATACAAATTTGAATCGGAATTGCTCTCAATATTTCTGGGATTTTCTCCATTTCCTGGAACCACCACATGCGCAATAGCATTGTAGGGCGGGAGAGTTGCAGAGAGTCGCTGTGACGACACTCAGCTCAAACAGGGTATCCCCGGGTTGAGTCACGCAATCTTCACGCACCCATAGGCTGTATCAAGTGTCAACCATAGAAAACATGACCCCCCTAACAGGCAGGATTCATGACCTATACTGCAGCCTGTCACCAGAGGGTGCTGTTCTTAAGGTGGTTTCACCCAGTGAGGAGGCAAATGGCATCCATTCCACATACATTCCATGGTCGAGCACCTTAGAAATGTAGCCAAGAATAGCTCAAATCTAACTTTTAATGATAAAGCCATCATCATTCAGGCCTTTATCTCTTCAAAATCAGAGTAAACACAATGCACTTGTTTTAATCAGCGGCTCACCATTTGTTTAACGATAGTCTGCAAAATTTTACTCATTACTTTTAAAGCACTTAATGGCCATCTGCCCAAGTATATATCCAAAGTCCTGTCAATCTACCAACCAGTCTGCAGCCTGATGTCCCCAGGAAAGCAACTCCTTACCATTCCCACCACTCTTTTGAAAACTTAAGTATAGGAGCATCTGTTGAGCAACTCGCAATGCTGTTATTTTTTATTTTTTATTTTTTTCAAAAGTTTGCAACATAATCAACATTAAGATGATATACTTAGCAAGATGCTTGAAGTTTGCTCCGATTATAGGAATTTTATGACATTATCCGCTGATACAGACAGCTTGTGTCGTGCTGAGACTGTTTAGATGCATGTGCCTGTGTTTTAGCAACTCCCTGCAGGTTGGGTTCGTGTCTCTTTCATGTATGTGTTTCTATCTGTGCAGAGGTCACCACTCTGCAAACAGCTGCACATTATCTCAGCTGGATCTCCAGGGAGAGGGGTCAGCATGTTCAGAGATGGCAGCAGAGGTAGACCAGGAAGAGACAGGATGGAGGATGGGAAGATGGAGGGGCCAAAGGTGGCACAATGATGGACTCAAGGGTATATTTGAACCATGTGGTCAAGTGACAAGACTTGTTTAAGATCTGAGATAAACATGTCGACATGTCTGAGGGATTTTTTGTCATGAAAAAGAATCCATTGAGAGTAACGGGCTGGCTGGACAGATTTCATTTTTAATTTTTTTTATCAGAAGCATGATCCACAATCGACTCTGCACTGTGTATTTGCACCTGACTACCTCTAATACCTATTCAGCTGTGTTTTCTTTTGCATTTGAGACCTTTGTTTCTCTTCTCACAGCATGCTGATGCTGTTAAGGACATTGTCATGTAGAAAGTGGAGCCGTGGGAAGCTAGTTAGCCACTCTGCATGAGGCTGATGGTTGGCCTTAACAAGAGCCATGGGTGATGGAGACCGATAGTGGGAAGATCGCGCTTCAAATCCCTCTACTGTTGCAGTTCATTCCTACTTGTCAGGGCCTGCCGCTGCCTGCCAACTGAGCCGCAGATTTTCTCTCTGTGCTCGTTTGCTCATGAGGCTCTCAGACTCTCTTCCCTCTTCACTTTTCATTCTCATTTTCACTACTTCTACCCTACTTCTAGCAATTGTGTTCCTCCCATGGGACGCTGTGGAAGCCCTGGGAAACATGTTGCCAAACTTTACACAATTATTTCAGGGGAGTTTGAGCATATTTACTGCTCACTACTTAGCACCAGGTCTTTTTTATTTTTTTTTAGGCTTTATTGTGCTTCTAATTGAGTGTCTGGTTGCTATGTTCAGACACATCTTGCAAATCCAAAGAGAGATGCAAAGCTACTTTTGAAGCAGCTTCTCTAAACAGCTCAGTTGTGGGAGCACCTGCAACTGGTTTCCCTTAGTTGCAAAACTCCTGGGGTATTCAAGAGTTCTGGTTTTGGGAAGTCTTCTTGTTCCGGATAGTTTCCTGTGCTGTATCGTCCATCCACATTTTAATTTACAACTGCCGTATACAGTAAAAGGTCCGTGTGGAAAGCAAAAAAGGGTGAAATGCTATCTGCCATCAAACAATCACACAGCCTTCATCCGTTTTCCTACAACATCAATAAATTAATGTCTATGATTAGACTTTTGTATGCCACAGCAGCTGAAAATGTCCTAATATTTCAGCACAAACTACCTTCTTGCTTTAAAAGTCACTATCCAACCATCCTACTGTCTTTACCACTCATCAAAGTCATGGCCATGGGGCTGGAGCCTGTCCCAGCTGTCATTTTCCAGGAGGCTCAGTTCACTCTAAACAGGTGGCCAGTCCATCAGTGTTAATTTCAGTAGTTTAGTCTTTAGACTGAAATGCTTTTTGGTTTCTTTTTTTGTCAGTTCTAGTCTAATTCTCGATGACAAAAAGTCATAACTTTTTAATCAGTATTGAGTTGCACTACAGTTTAAATCTGCAGTGTTTCACTCTCTGTACACTTTAACTCTTGTAATATCTGGATCATAGACTGTATATAGAATGGATGTCGTCTGCCTCCTCACAGTGTGAAGCCATCGCAAGAACAGCACCCTCTGGTGATGGGCTGCAGTATAGGTCATATATCCCACCTCCTCTAGCAATCCCTACAAGCTGTGGACAAACTTTAGAAATTAATTACACAGAATATACATTTTGGATAGTGACTTTTAAAGCAAGACGGTAGTTTGTGCTGAAATATTAGGACATTTTCAGCTGCTGTGGCATACAAAGGTCTAATCATAGACATTCATTTATTGAGGTTGTAGGAAAACGTATGAAGGCTGTGTGATTGTTTGATGTTGACATGTAGTTCCTGTAAGACTGGTTTGCACTCAAGTTCTCTTTTTTCTGTACAGCTCCATTTTTAAAAGTTATTAGGGGGCTCATATTTTTTTTACGATTGATACTTGATACAGCCTGTGAGTGTACAAAGATTGTGTAGCTCACCCAGGGGATATGCTGTTTGAGCCGAGTGTCATCACAGCGACTCTCCCGCCAAATACGTGCAATGCTACTGTGCAAGTGGTATTTCCAGGAAGTGGAGAAAATCCCAGAAATACTGAGAGCAATTTAGCGGTGAGCGGAACCATGTTGTCCATGGTAAATATAGTCTATGATCTGGATTCATTACCTTTATTGGATAACTAAGATTTTTCCACAAGTCAATCCTACTATGTTATCCCTGCTAATCCACTATAGTAACATAGAGGGATGATCTACGCTCTAAATTGAACATTCTTTCCGTGCTCAGTGTGGCTATACTTTTTTAACTTGACGACTATGTCCTTTGTGGTGATCATTCTTGGGTCTCAAGAAGGAAGTCAAAATTTCTAAAGGAAAAACCTACTCATGCTTATTGAGAACTTGAAAGACATCAACCTACACGACTGCAAACTGTTGCTCCCAAATCTATCTCAAATTGGTAGCGACAAACCCTGGAAACTAGATTTGTACTGTGCATGTGCGAAACGTACATCACTTCTTCCCCTTGTATTTCAATGCGTTTTACGGCAGTTAGTTGTCAATACTGCTACCCACCTGATCAGTACTGCACAAGTGCAAATTTATGTCACCTTAAAAACTTTATTTAAACTACCGATTGATTTCAGTAACCAGCTTGTGATGTGACAGGCTCACATCACCAGAGCTCCTGCCTGGCACGGTGAGACCTTTTGAGCCACTGAGAGCACCGCCACTTGACTTTTCAAAGTATCAAGGGGGGATTGATTTTATAAATTAAATGAATTAACAAGAGGCCTACACATTATACAGCGTTTCAATTTCAACAATGAAATAATGTCATTCATTCAAGCCTTTTATAACTACATTGCAATTTTACAATTACGCTAGTAGTAGGAACCTTTAATCATGAAACTGGACGCCATTCTCTTGACTTTCAGGCATTCTGCTTCAGTTAGGGGAAGCACTCTGTTCGGGAGAAAAGCATGTAGCTAGTCATAACCTGAAGCATCCATTCTGATTGACCAGAGCTCGCTGATGCTGAAGCTGTCACAAACCACGTGGGTCAATGAATTGCTGAGTTGTCGCTAAGATGGCTAGTAGAAAAAGTGACATACGTCTTGCACATGCGCAGTACAAATCAGGTTTCCGGGACAAATCTGGTAGCGACACACATCGAATGTTGCGAGTTTGGCTCTACACACTGCAACGAACAAAAGGGATTTGTTGAACAGAAGTCAATAACTCTAGCTACATCAGAAACCCTGAAAAGTTGTACCCTCTTCAGACAAGCAGAGATGGGGTCAAAGATTGACATGAGAACAATTCCAGCATTACTTCAATCAACTTGTCCCACCATTTGAAAATCCTGTGCAGGAATGTTTTATCTATCTAGAACCTATCCTGGAAATCCCTATATTCTCCATAGATAAGCAGATGGAATAACCAAGATGCACTAAGTAGGGTGCCCATTTGCAGAACCGCCTTTAAGCTGCAATTGGCCATAGTGTTAAAAATGTGACAGCCAGCTCAGAACTTGCTCCACTTTTTAAGACTTCAACAACAGTCCATGCAAAAAAGTGCATTAACATTTTAACAACTTTGAAGGCAATACCAGGCCTGTGGGGTAAAATACAACGGAACAGATTTCCCACTTCGCTACACCGCCAACCGTTCCCCATTTAGCCTCGTCCCATCTCTGACTCATTTGCTGAGATAGCGCAAATGTCACTAACCTCCTGCTCATCTTGCAGCGATAGAAAGTTCCACCACATGCTGCATTGCCATACAAAACCGTGAGTCCTCCATTAAAAAGAAGAAAGTGAGACAAGGGCATCCCTTTAGTGAGCTGCGAATAAAAAAATCTGAGGGTTGTGCTTGACCTCCTGGATGCACATTACCATATTTTTTATGATGGTGTGTAAATTCAACGACAGCTGTTTGCCTTGTGGCTTTGGCATCGATCCACACCTAAGCCTGATGCGTCTGTCTCAGAAACCCAAACAGAGAGGTGCATTCTTTCATCACGCACTGTGCACTCTGTATTTCTATGATGCAATTCAGTATTTCTAGATGTATTCTAACACAAAAAAAACTGTCAAAAGTTGGAGAGAGTGTGGTTCTTGCAGGGTTGTTTTCAAAGTGTCGGTGCATAAATGCGTTGTTGAGGTATTTAGATTGAAATGACCTGTCAGTGATGTGTGTTCTCCATTTAAAAGAAGAGTCAGTGCACTGTCTTTATGTTTTTTGCAGGGAGGAGTAAAGACATATATTGTCCACCGCTGACAACGCCATCAGCTTCCCCATAATGGCTCTTCTGTCCCCTAATTGTCCCCTCCACACAAGCTGTGAGTGAATATATGTGTGTGAGTATGAGTTTCTGTGTGTGTGTGTGTGTGATGCTTATTATGTTTCTCTTGCATGCTCTCCCCCTGACAACCTAATTACTACTTTCAGCGATACACTGACACACCGATCGAAAAAGTGGAGCTGAGAATGCGGCTCATTTTTGACAGGGTGGTGGTTTATGAGATGTTTGTGTAGGAGGAGATTTTCTCTCTTTTTCTGTTTTTGTTTTTCACTCTCAGTGCTATGGGTAATTATTTACATTGCTGTTGTCACTGAGAAGAATGGGAGAGTGGGACTGAGAAAGAGGAGGAGGAAGTGAGATTTGTGGGGAACATGAAAGAGGACGACTTTCTCCATTCCAGCTTGGAGTGGGTAACTCTGAGTGTTTGTGCTGCGAGGAACTTAGTAGATGGATTGATCTGTTTGCAGCCATAGTGGCAGGTGTTCCTTTGCAACATAGTTTCCAGGGCAGCTTGGGAGGGATATTGAGGAAAAATTACAATTTCAAGTGAGGGAGAGTACTAAACAGGGAGTCCATTATATGCACATATTATATATGAACGAGTCTGCGTGTGTTGGACAGTTGTCACTCTTGCAATATGGTTACATGCAGCCATGCAAAATGTGTTTTTTTTTTATCAGCCATCTTTGTTTTCCTGGTAAAACCTGCGGGTTAAACTTTCATTGAAAACTGTTTCACAAGCCTCTAATGAAATAAAAGTCTTGTTCACCATCCACTGATTGGAAAACACTTTTGGCACAAATTAGAAACTCGAGGTAGTTCTAGCCGGTGAAACTGATGGATGCTTTGGCTCAACTATTAGCCAGAAGGCCAATACTATGCTAAAAGAATCAAAGTGAACATTTAACAGGATTTCCAAACAGTCAGTGGCTGTTTTTCAAACCACCTACTGCATACTCCTACCAAACATCATACCCTGGTCGATTGCAAATGATGCTACAATGTTGTCCACTGAACATAATGTAACAGTGTTATTGTATACTTAATGATCTTTGTTGGGATACTTCATATCCATAAATGTAAAATGAAAAAATGTACTAATTTCCTTACCGGTTTTAACTAAATGACACTTAAAAACTTTTAAATTAATCGACAGTAAAAGGAAAAATTAAAAGGAATAGAACTGTTACACTTATCTTGTAGTATTTTGTAGAGGACTTTTCTTCTGTAGAGATCCAGTAGCTCATAAGCAATCACCTCTGAGTCGTGGGCAGAGACAGTGCTGCTCTGCACACTTCTCTTCACGCTGGCTTG